TGGATCGGCAGACTCAACATCATTAAAATGTCTATACTACCCTAACTGATCTACAGATTCAATGCAATACCTATTAAAATCCCATCAGCATTCTTCACAGATATAGAAAAAATAATTTTACCTTCATATGGAACAAAGAAGATCTCGAATATCAAGAGCAATTCTAGGCAACAAAAACAAAATGGGAGGTATTAACATGCCAGATATCAAACTATACTACAAAGCTATAGTAATTAAAACAATCTGGAATTGGCACAAAAATAGGAATACTGACAGGGAACGATCTGAGATCCTTATATAAACCATTCTCATATAGCCATCTAATCTTGACAAAGCAGCAATACATATGCTGGGGAAAAGAATCCCTTTTCAATAAATGGTGCTGGGAAAACTGGATAGCCACTTGTAGAAGGCTAAAGCAGGACCCACACCTTTCACCTCTCACAAAAATCAACTCAAGCTGGATAACAGACTTAAACCTAAGGTATAAAACTATTAGAATTCTAGAGGAAAATGTTGGAAACACTCTCCTAGACATCGGCCTAGACAAAGAGTTTATGAAGAAGTCCCCAAAGGCAATCAAAGCAGCAACTAAAATAAATAAATGGGACATGATGAAACTACAAAGCTTCTGCACAGCCAAAGAAACAGTCATGAAAGTAAACAGACAACCTATAGAATGGGAGAAAATTTTTTATCCTACTCATCTGATAAGGGGCTGATAACTATTTTAAACTTTATATAGAAAAGTAATGGAACTAGAAACAATTTTGAAAAAGAATAAAGAACTGAAACAATTTTGAAAAAGAATAAAGTGAAAGGAATCACTCTACCTGAGTGTGGTATTGGCAGAGGATAAATAGAACAAAGTAGAATGCCCAAAATTAGACAGACACAAATCCATCCACTTGATTTTTGACAAAGGTACTAAATCCAATGAAGTAAGGATAGTATTTTTATCAAAGTTTGCTGCATATCCATAGGTAAATTAATGATCCTAGGCCTAACTCTTGCACCATACACAAGAATTAATTTAAAATATATCATTAATCATGAGTGAAATGCACATTAAAACCACAATGAGATACCACCTTACCCATCAGAATGGCCATTATTAAAAAGTCAAAAAACAATAGATGCTGGTGTGGGCACAGAGAGAAAGGAACACTTACATACTGTTGGTGGGACTGCTAATTAGCATAACCTCTGTGGAAAATAGTATGGAGATTACTAAAAGAAATATTACACACACACACACACACACACACACACACACACACACAATGGAGTACTATGCAGCCATATAAAGGAATGAAATAATGTCTTTTGCAGAAACTTGGATGGAACTGGAGATCATTATCCTAAGTGAAATACCTCAGGAGTGGAAAAACAAATACCACATGTACTGTCTAATAATGGGGAGCTAAATGGTGGGTACACACAGGCACAAAGAGACGTAGAGGTCATTGGAATCCAAGAAAGGGGGAGGGTGGAAGGGTGAGTGAGGGGTTATAATCTTACCTATTGGGTGCAATGAACACTATTCTGGTGATGGGCACATTGAAAGCCTCGACTTGGGCATTATACAAGGTATCCGTGTAACAGAAAGATTTGAACTCCCTTAATATTTTGAAAATAAAAAAATAAAAGTGATTTTCCATCTTAGGTTGAAGGCCAAAATGGTACACAAGAGTTAAAGGAAGAGGTCAGCATTGCCTAGAGGAAATTCTGTCTGAGGAAAATCTCCTCCTCCAACCTTTTCAAAGTTTGAACCCTTTCTCCACCTTTATGTGGTTTCCTATCAATAAACATCTTTTCTGAACAAAAATAAAATAAAATATATCATCACTTTAAGTTTGAAATGTAAAACTCTAAAATGTTTTAAGTATAACAGGATAAATCTTTGGGATTTAGCGTGAGGTGAAGTTGTTAGATATTACAACAGAAGCATGTCACATAAAAAAAAAATGATAACTTGCCCTGTGTCAAGATTAAAAACTTCTGTATCACAAAACAATCCTGCTATGAGGTCGAAATATCATGAATATACAAGGAATTTTCAGAACTCTACAGTTAAATAAAAAATACACAATTATAATACGGGCAATAGAAATGAGTAGATATTCCACCAAAGAGCAGATACATATGGTGAGTAAGCACATGAAAAGTTGTTCAACAACAATTTGCCATCAGAAAAATGTAAATCAATGTCAAAAGGCTATATAACTATATACCTATTGAAACAGCTAAAAATTAAAAAATAATTAAAAATGCTGGGGAGGATGCATAGAAACTGTATTACTCATTCATTGCTGGTGGGAATGTAAAATGATAAAGTTACCCTAGAAAACAGTTTTGAATTTTCTTACAATATGATACATTCTATGCTATGTTTTTCATGACAGTTAAAATCTATGAGCTACTTATTGGGGGAGGATATGATTTAGTATAAAAAAGGGGTTTGACACTGCTCTGTTCTGGATCTATTGTTTCAGGAGAGCACAAAATACACTGTACAACATTCTTCTACATTAAAAAAACTGAGAGCAGCTCATTTTTTCTATTAGTAATATAGGACCATGAGAACTGAATAATTGTACTGAAAATAGATGCATAGGACTTACAGATGCAAAGCTAGTTTGATTCACAGATTTTTTATGGCTAAGAAGGGTTTTGCCTCTGTGAAACACTCATTTTGGATATACATAACCAGAAGTTTCTCTCTGGACATTAAAATATAGGATATTCAATATCAAAAATTTTTTGCCTTTCCCACTATAAGATTTTAGATAATCAGGTAGATCAAAGATCTGAAAAAGTACATAATAATAATAATATAAGTTATTGAACATTTACTAAGTTTTTGGCATTGTTCTAAGCAATCTATATGCATTACATTATTTGTCCTCACAGCAACATTATAAGGTATATTTTGGCATCCCCACTTTACAAATGAGGAAATGGAGGCTCAGAGAAGCAAAAATATATAGCTGAAGGTCACACAGGGATTTAGTGGTTGAGCAAGAATTTATTTATAGTTCTATTTGACTATAAAATCAACATAATTTTCACCAGAATACCATATTTTCAAACCATAAGAGAAATCCCAGGTCATATAGTCCAACCTCTAGCTGATGTTATGACTCCTTCTATATTATAGGTATTCCTCTGACTTATGATTGAATACTCTCTAGTAAGGTGGAACATCCTGATCCCTAGATTTAATTGAGTTTACCTCTGTAAAGGCTGTCCAATCTATCCACTTGGCCTTTTCACTTCCCCTGCAAAATGTCCCAGCAACCTCTCGACAACAGCATTAGCCAACTAACTAGTCTACCTCTATCCACTCTTATCGTTTTCTTATTTGTTTTCTACACATTTCAGCTAAATGATCTTTTCTAAATATATCACTTTTCTGATTTAATGACTTTCCATTCTTCTTTGGATAAACAGCAAACACCTTGCCATGGCCTGTAAGAATAGTGACGGTAAGTGCTGGTTTGCTCAAATCCTTCCCCGTTTACACTGTTGTCAAGCCTAATTATTCATTCAGTCCTCTTTCATTCTCAAGAATGTTAATGTTTGAACAGTGCATTTTATGGTTACCCTGTCTATAAAGATTTACATCATCTGACTCCAAATACAACAGGTGATTATACATTTAATTCTTCATTATTCATTTTGACCTAAATACATAGAATGCATTCATGCATACCTAGTATCTTTGTAAAGCTCATTTTTATGGTAAATATAGGGAGTAGCCTGAGCCATCATGAAACACAGAAAGACAAGTCATCAGTTTTAGAAATGAAGAAAACCAATAAATTTAATGTTTTCTTCTCATATTCCTACTTCTTGTGTCTTAGGTAGCATAAATAGGGAATATACTAAGACCCAGTAACATGAAACCCTTCTTTCTCCAGTCATCAAAGTTTAGCTCTCTTTCTTGAGTGTACAATCTTATCCTTAATAAGAAGGGATATAACCTGTACTTAGCATGTAGTGAAGAAAATTAATTAGCGTCAAATCTTAGTACTTATAAAAATTCAGAGAGCATTTATATGCAACTATAGTGTATTTAAAACATATTCTCTTCCAGTTGACTGAGTCAGGTAAACAAATCCTCTTCCCCCAAAGCAACCATAAACCTGAACAACTGTTAAAAATAACTCTTTCAGTACTCTGGAAATGGACCAAATGTATACAACAGAGAGGTGTTTATTCATGAAAACTACTGAACTTCAGGTAAGAACAGTGTAAAAAGTCACGTGCAAAAGACTACATATTATGTGATTTTTACAATATGACATATCCAGAAAAGGCAAGGATACAGAGACAAAAAGCAAATCAGTGGGAGTTGACTGCAAAGGGGCTTGAGGAAAACACGGAGAGAAATAGAAAAATTCTAAATCCAGAATGTGATTATGATTGTAAACTCTATTATATATTTTATAAATATTGAAATGTGCACTTACAATGGTTGAATTTTATGGCATGTACACTATACCTCAAAAAGCTGTAAAAATATATTTTGTACATGAGATAGGTCAAAGTATTACTATAACAAAGACAGCTATGGTTAAGCAGAAAAATAAGGCAGAACATGGAATCAATGTAGATTACCGAATCATTTCTACTTAGTTAAACCATTTAATATTCCAACGCCTTTAAAATTTACTGAAAAACAATACATCTATCTTTGAAAAAATACATTGAAACATCCTCTGCAAAAACAAATAGAAATATTATCCTAAATTTTAACTTCTAATTATTTACTGTTTCTTCTTTTTTTGGTCTTCACTTTGTAGACTCTGTTTTTTTAAATAAAATTTTCTATAAAAATTTATGTAATCTATAAAGCTTTGAGTCAGAGAAGCAATACTGCTCTGGCTTAACCAACAAAAGATGACCTATAAGATTTTCCATCTTCAATTTTGTTTCACAGTTCAGGATAAATTATCTTCACAAAACCAGATACACACTTTTATTCGATATATTACCTTGTCTGACTTGTTAGCCTAAAGTCAACAACAGCCTCCTTAAATAAACCAACTCCTTCAATGTTGATGACAGCATCCACATCAGGCTCAGTAGCAACCAACGTTATGGGAAACAACCAGATCCCATCTGTTACGCATTCTATTTTCAGTGTAATGTTAGACCTTTAATATAAAAAAGATTTTAAAAGATACTACATCAAAACAAGCAAAGATAATAAATATAGCAAATTAATATCTAAGGTCAATATGTAGGTAAACTTGGTGGTTTCAGCAAAAACACTATACTGGGACATTTAATTCTTTAAAAATGTAGATGGCTGTTAATTACATTGTAGGAATAATTTTTAGGTCATACTTTGTATTATCATTCTCTCTTTGAGGTAATTATTTTTAGGGCATCTCGTCTACGATTTATTTTTGAAGAAACAGTAACATATGCAGAATGGATTCTGCAATTTTTCTCTAACCAACATACAATGTCACAGTACCTAAGAAACTAAGGGTAAATTTGGCAAATTAATTCAAGATTTATACTAGTAGATATTTCATTTGGGTACTTCATGTCAAATAAAACACTGTGAGAAAGTCTTTTCAACTCTTGCTTCACATATAAAAATTATATTTTCTTCAAATACCTACAAGGTATTGACAAACTGAAGCTTTTTGAAAATTAAATTGCATTTGGTAAATACCATGTACACCTTGGGGAATAACATATAATTGAGTGGCAGTTGAATAAAGGAAGAAAGTAGAGATAGACTTTCAAAGCATTTGACTGTGACAAAGCATGAAGAAATAAAGCAGTACTTGGAGTTGTGGAACAGTTATCTGTTTGCTTGCTTAGGGTGGATGCGACTCATGTAGTGGTGTGGTTACAATATCATAAGTCAGGATTAGAAAATGAAATCACAAGCCTCTTATCTAAAACAGTCAGAAAGAAGAGTTCTGGGAACTCTTATTTTTCTTAGGTAGGATTGTAGAACTACTCGACCCTTTAGGGAGCAATTGGACAATATCCTACCAAATTTGAAAGGTGCACATAGGAAACCTGCTGTTCCACTATTAGTACTTTCTCTGTACATATGCCTCCAAGGTTTCGAGAAGTGTTATGTGTAAAGATATTCATTATTGCATTGTTTATACTATAAAAAAACTGAGAGCAAAATTTTAAAGATGTTTTTTCAATAGGGTACCGGTAAAAAAAAAAAGTGTGTTGCACAGAAACAACCTAATACTATGCAGTATATCTTAGCCAATGATAACTGATGTATCATCTTAAATTTATCCAAAATGTAAACTCTAAACCTATACCTCTCTCACATTCTTCTGCCTTTGCAAAAGAAACTATATTCCTCTTTTTGCACTATTTCAAGCACTGATTTTCCTGCTTCTACTTTTGCCACTTTACAAGGAAGAGAAGATTTTCATAATTTAGAGCTATTGTTTTATTTTACTATTTTGTTAATTAATATTTAACTCTTTATCTTCCAGTGAGCCAGCCCAAATACATTTGGAACATGGAGTGGCAGATATAAATGAATATATGCATGTATGCACAAAATACAATTGTTAAGATCATCACCCAACACTTACAGAATTTTGTGTATTATGTGAACAAGTTGTCCTAAATCAGTATCCCCAAATATTTATCGTTCAATAGTTTTCTATTGTTTCTAACATCAAAGACCAACTCATACCATCAGGATCCTATGTGATCAGATCTCAGCCAAACTCTCCAAACTTATTCCTCCTTTACTCACTGAATTAGGGAAATGTTGGCCTTCTTAATATTCATTGTTAATGCCAAACACTTCCTGTTCCATGGCCTTTGCAATTATTATTTTCTCTGCCTCAAATGCTTCTTTCCAGCTGTTCACATCTATAAGGTCTTGGTTCAGACATCACTTCATGGAAGCCTAACTATCCATCTTATCTGATGTACATCTTTTTTTTTTTTAGCGTATTATGGGGGTACAAGTGTTAAGGTTACTTATATTGCCCATGCCACCCTCCCCCCTCGAGTAAGAGCTTGAAGCATGTTCATCCCCCAAATGTTGCACATCTTACTCGTTGTGGTTGTATATACCCATCCCCTCCTCCCATAGCAACCTATTTCCCCTTATTTATTTCCTTCTTAGGACAATCTGAAATTTGCTTGCTTATCTATACATTTATTTTTCTGTTATCTATCACTACCACTAGACTATATACTTCAACAGTAGAAGAATTTTGTCTCCTCTGTAGTTATTAATTTTTTAAAATAAATTAATGAACAGGTTTAAATAAATAATGCTGAATAATTCTATTCAACAGACCAATTCTTTGAGTTAGTGAAAAGTTGCTGAGTCAACTTTTTGGACACATAGGGAAGAAGACCATGCAATTTCAGGGATGACAGAGTGAACAACTTCATAGTCAATACTGTAGATTTATAACAATGCATATATGTGATATTAATATTTTTTATTCCAAGTTGTGTCCCTCAAACTGTGGAACAGGACTTTGGGGTTATTCTGTTTAGCTCTTAAGCAGGCAAAAGTTCTAGGAAAATGGCAAACTAAGGTAATTAGCTTTTCTGAAGATACCATAAGACAAATGAAATCTATCATTTCTCTATTTAAAATAATGTTTAGACCTGTGTTAAGTTATAATCATCAGACTGATTCATAACAATATTAAGTATTGATCTCCTGAGTTTTTGTATTAAGCTCCTGATTTTTATTGAAAGAAAAGGCCCAAAGGAATTGTTTTCCTATATATTTTTTTGTAAAACCATAATTTAGGACACTGACTATTATTTTTATTATGTACAACACTGTGTTCTATAAAAGGATGAATGTGAAAAATTACCCAGTATTTACTGTTGTAAAAATGTCATATCTTCTTTTTACCAAAACATGAAAATTTGTTCTTCTTATCTTGCCAACCAAAAAGAGAAGAATTCAATTTAATACTTAATTTAATTATCTAAGTAAAGCATAGTTTAATTATTTTCTTGTTCTTTTAGGTGATTCAAAGCTACTGACTTTATTTTGCGTTTTCTCACTTAATTGTGTCTCTTGCAATGACTTATCCCAGATCCAGTCATGTGCCACATAACGTTTCAGTCAATGATGGACCACATATATGCAATGGTGGTCCCACATGATTACAATACCATATTTTTTCCCAGCATTTTTTTTATTTCAGCATAGAAAAATACAATACCATATTTTGAATGCACTTTTTCTATGTTTAGATACATGAATACTTACCATTGTGTTATGATTGCCTACAGTATTACATACGTTTGTAGCCTAGGAGCAATAAGTTATACCATATAGCCTAAGTGTGCAGTAGGCTACCCCATCTAGGTTTGTGTAAGTACACTGTATGATATTTGCACAATCACAGAATAGCCTTATCATGTGTTTCTAAGAGAGTATCTCTGTCATTAAAATGATGTATGGCTATACATATGGAAGAAGGAATGATAGTAATGAAATATACATATGTGCACAAAATGGAATCATTAAACTACATCACAATATCAAACAACACTCACAGAAACTCATGAATCATGTAAAAAATTGTCCTAAATCATTTTCCCTAATATTCACCAAGACATTTTAAATCCACAAAATTTTGAATGAGTATAAATTCACATTGGCTCCACTTGTATTTACCAATGATAACATTGTTCCCCTTCTAGTTGCTATTGGTAATTTCCATATGATTAAATTAACGTAATACAAAGCTGCATGTGAAAAAATACTAACAAACATATAAAACTATGAAAAAAGAAATGATAAAAAGATGTGATGTCAATGCTTATAGTGTACTTTCTTCTTATAGCTTGATTTTATTACTGCTTCCTGAAGATGGCCCTGGTATCTTTTAGTTTTTGAACTACACACTCACAGACACTTCACATGCACTGCTACATTAAATACATAGTTGAACTTTAGAAATGATTAAAAGCACAAATAATACTTTGAATTCTTTTTTCATTGCCAGGTTGTTATGTACTTTGTGTACATTGTGGTTGTAATCAATATGTCTGCATTCAGACACAACTAATGCTCTATTTCAGAATGACATATCATATAGTATTTGCAGGTAGTAAGTATCAATTGTCCAAAATGTAAATATAACAACACTGGATGAGATTTGCCCCAAGCCAGATATCAAAAGCCCACTATTCTCACAGATTCACTTATACCTTACTGAGGGATGTGTAATGTTATGGTATTGCGTGGTAAGAGGTAATGAAAGCAGCTGCAATGTAGAACATATATTAGATATTTCCATCATTGGACTGGTTCTGTGTCAATAAATATGCTGCTTTTGTACAGTGCCAGGTCAGTGTTTTTTTTAATTTTACAAAATAGACTATTCTCTTTCATGAATATGATATCCTAATGACCTTAGGAAGTCACAACTCTTGAAGGATACCTTAGATTTCCAACCATTTGGACTATTTTTTCTCATCACAATACTTTTCATAGCTAGAAATGATCTAGCCCCAAATATTTCTCTCAACAGCATCAAAAAAGTAATATAACCCAAATATTGAAAAATAGAAAGAAAATCAACATTTGGTTTAAAATAGTAGTAATATTGTTTAAAGAAAAAGGAAAGGAAAGCAGGTTTACCTCAGTGGTTTCTGTGGTGTAAATACCAGATTGAAGACCAATGTTATCTTTTCATCCCTGATACTATAACTTTTACTGATCAAATATAAAGCCACACAGGGTTCCAAGTGAGACTCTATAACTTCAGATTCAAATTGAATTTCATACTCAAATTCACGTTTTTTAGGCATTTCTAGAAAAATCAAGATCAAAATATACTTCAATTTAATTAAATATACATAGATTTAACATCAGTGTCAACACTAATCATGCACAAGTGTTTAGAGGAGGGGAGAGGACATGTGTTATTTAGCTTTATATTCATAATTTCTAGTGCATTACCAGGTATACAATGATACTCAGTATATTTTTGTTAAAAGGTTAATAAATAAATAAATGAATATTTTAAAAACATAGAAGACAATTCTCACCATACTTAAATCTCTAAAATTCAGGTTTTTGGAAAAAGAAAAGCCAAATGAAAACTAATAATCAATATTAATAATGAAATAAAAATAATGACATTGGCTCTATATAATGTATTACAAACATTTAAAAAAACAGACATTTAAAGAAACTTATACAGAAAGGTATAAAATTTGATTTAAATTAAGTTTAAACAATATTAAAATAGCATTCTAAACTATTAGAGCACGATTTTCAATTTCTAGTATATTTTGATTAAAAAAACATTTGGTCTTGGAATATTATAGACAATATGGTTAACAAATATTGCCTTAAGCAGGAGGTTACCAATGGAAAGTAATAGTAATGTTTTGTTCACTGCACATGAAACATACCTTTAATCCAACATTAACATATAAATGACAGGTACAGATATGTATTAAATTTACTCTCCATTTACATGTAAGGCACCCAAATCACACACTTAGATGTTTGTTACATGTGGATCATGGAAGAGAGGTTAGAAAATCATGAATTGACTTAATTTCTAAAGCCTGTCTTTAGTGTGTAAAGGTAAAAGTGATCCTTACATTCCATTATATTAATTCAGAACTAATGGCTACCTTTCTTTAAGCAATCCTAAAGGACACCACTTTTTAGAAGTAGATATTAATAATTTTAATTTCTGGCATTGAACTGTAAAAAATAGCCTGGCTATAACAAGCTTAAGTCATATTTAATGATACCTCACCGAACTGTATTAATGTAAAATGTAGCAGACTGACTCCCACACTCACAAGATCTCCTGTATATTATTTTTCTACACATAAAAATGAATCTCTGACCTTCGAAATTGCTGGTTTTCATCCTGTTGACAAAATCAGAAATTTCTGTTCCTATAAATAATCATTCTTTGATGTAACAAAATTAATGTGTCTATGTATAGTATATCTATTTGTTCTGAAAATAGAATATGGAAATGTCCCAGAGGAAACCATAATCCATACAGAGAAAACAACATTTAAGAATTTTGGATGTTTGATGGAAATGAAATTTCCATTGCATTCAAATAACATAATAAAGATTTTCAAAAGCAAATGCTGTATGTAGTTGAGATCTGTATCTGTTTTTGCTTAATTATTGAAGCCTTTTTGAGAATGGTGGTTTCAGAATGAAACTAGAGAATGGGAAGCTAATTTCAGTTTCAGAAACATCCCCTATAGGGATCTATCACTGTGAATGTCATAATTCCATTCATCAGAAGGTCCATTGGTACAAAATACAGTCATGATTATCAGCTAGGGAACAAGTAGGAACCATATGAGAATTTGATATGAGCCTGTAAGGAGAAAGAAAGAATCAGATTTGATGAAATCATGATAAATTGTTTTTCTTTATTGTGTTTTGAAGCTGATCTCTTACAGTCACCACATTTTACTTGAAATATCATACCATGAGGTAAGAAATATGTGTTTTGCAATTCTTAATTTGGAATGAATCTGCACAGTTTTTTCATATACACTGGGTTGATAAGAGCTAAGTCAGTGAGACCAGTCCAAGTTAATTATCATCTGATTATCTGATAAAATCAATGTTCTATTGTAAACATAGTTCATAATTTTAAGGAAATAAGTGCAAGTTTCTAAAAATGTGTATAAATAAGTGTATTTTTCCATAACACATATTATAATTTCAAAGTTACAAGTTAACAGTCCCTGGAACTACCGTAACAAATTCAATATTGGAAAAAGATTCTGTATTTTTTTTAGAAAACTCTTAAAAAAACACTGGAGGGAGTGATGTCAGCAAGATGGCTAGTAGGAGATTCCTTGTACCCCCTACAGAAACACTAATTTGACAACTATCCATAAACAAAAATACCTCATGAGAGTTCCAAAATCCAGCCCACACAGCTCAGTGCTGAGAAATCCCTCAGCTTAGGAGTTCTCAAATAGAGGGAAGGAAGAGCAAAGTGAGCAAGCAACTTCTCCCTGGACCCTACCACCAGACCTGCCCCCATGGACCCTGGTGCCAGGCCTGCCTTTGTAGACCCAGGCTCGAGGCATGTCCCCACAAATCCTGGCCTCAGGTCTGTCTCCAGACCCGCATATTAGGCGTAAATTGAGACACATTATAACTAAATTGTCAAAAGCCAAAGACAAAAGTAGAATTTTGATAGCAGCAAGAGAAAATCATCTCATCCCATACAAGAGAAGCTCAATGTAACTATCAGTGGATTTCTTGACAGAAACCTTATACAGGCCAAGAAAAAGTGATATGACATATTCAAATGAAAGATGCCAACCAAGAATACTATAGTTGGCAAAACTGCCCTTTAAAAATGAAGGAGAGATAATCACATTCTCAGATAAACAAAAACTGAGCAAGTTTGTCACTACTAGACCTTACTTACAAAAAGTATTAATAGTGGGTTCCTCAAGTTAAAATGAAATGGTGCTCAATAGCAACATACAAACATGAAAGTATCAATCTCACTGGCAAAGGTAAATATATATACAAATGCAGAATAATGCAATACTAAATAGTGATGCATAAATCACTTTTAAATCTAGCATAAAAGTTAAAAGACAAAATTATTTAGAATAAATATAACCACAAAATTGGTTAATGAATACACAACGAAAAAGGAAGTAAATTCTAATATGAAGAACATCAAGTGTGTTTAGGAGGAATAAAAATGTTTTTGTATGTTATTGAAGTTAAGTTCTTATCTGCTCAAAATAGATTATTTTGTATCATTTGTCCCCCTGAAGATTTTCATGAACTGCTGATGAAGACCTATAGATTTTATCTCAATTAAACTTTCTAGCTATAGCTAAATTCATGAATATGAGGCAGATAATTTTGTTCCCAGAGCCAACATCTAAGCATACTTTAAAAACATGACATTTTCTTATCATTTATATTTACATTTTCATTTTATTCATTCAGCTAAAATTGAGGCTTTCATTGGAATGAAAGGTCCAGCTCATGTCCTCATGAAGCTATGACCAAGAGGAGAGAACTGACAATGAACTGCCCGTGCCAAAATTGTTGTTAAATTATCACTGTGCTAACTGCTACCATGGAAAAGTAAAGGAGGCCATGAGAACACGGGTCCTGGGACTCTGACTGCTAAGGACGCTAGAGGAAGAGACCAACACCAAACTGAAAGTTGCACAAAGATTAGCTGGATATAGGGAAGGAGAAAACTCCTTGTACTCACTGAAGCAGCTTGAGGGAATTGTTCATGGTAGAAACCAGGTGGGCCCATTTGAAGAAGAACTAATATGAGTGGGGCAGAGGGAGTGGGAGGAGCTTGTTAAAAATGTAGCAGGCAAAGTTGGTAAGAGTGAGACCATGCAGGGTATGGTGAAGATTTGTGACTTCTAAGAATAACAGGAGGTAATTGGTGATTAGCACCCAATTTCAAACTCTATGCAAGATTTAGGTACCACATTTTCATACCTTTGCATAGATGATTCTTTTTTGTAATTCTTAGAAAACTCACTGAACTCCATTGAGAGGATTGTTTCCATTTCAAAATATCATTTGTTAGTGACTGAAGATGCGCCTTCTAGTATATCACTATCACATGACACCCAGCTAAAGCTTTAGATAATGATGATGATATCTAACACTTACAGAACACTCATTAAGAACCAGGCACTTTTAAAGGATTATACATGCATTTACACATTTAATCCTCAAAAAATTCTATAAAATGGATACCATTACTATCTCCACATTATAGTTGAAGAAACTGAGTTTACAGTGAAGTAATTTCTCCAAGGTCCTACTAAATACTATCTGACCTACAAGCTATCTGACTTCATAGTTCACAACCTAAGATAGCTGACTTGTCATATGGTACAATTGCTGAAGAAGCACCATTAGGATAGTCTGGAAGTGTGTAGGAGATATCTGTCCATAGGAATGTGGTGGCCCCAGGGCAGAGCCCTGAGGCACTCAAACATAAAACATTTAGATCGTGGTCAGAGAAAGGGAAGCGAACAACAGAGATGGAGAAGAGATAATCTGTGAGATAATAAGTTAATAAGGTTAGCCATAAAAACCAACAGCAGAAAGTCCTTCAACTTGGTCAATTGGTAAATTCTACGGACAGGTAGAGTAAGGTCAGAACACAAATATGACTATTGTATTAGGCATACTAAATAAGGTTGACAGTCTTTTCAAGGATAATTCTATTCGAGTAGGCAGTACAAAGGCCTTAATGGAGTGAGTTGATCAGAATAATCAAAGTAAAGAGGAGCAGAACAAAGAGTCAAAGGCTAGAGGCCAATCAATGTTGGGTCAAGGGAGGATGAATGGTAGGTTTCTCAGGAGCTATTTGCGATGACAGACCAAACCCTACATGGGAGTTTATATACAATATGCAAACAAAAACACAGCAAGATGACTAGCCTAGAGTGAAATGAGACAAGTCTGACACATTAATCGCCAAATCAGACACATAAAAGACAACAGGTTCATCAAATAACAACAGTCTTGAGCTATAGAACATCTGGGAAATAAAAAGAAGATGTGCAGTTATGCAGTAAAACTACTCTCAGAGAGAAAGCCCCAAAGAGAAAGTCACTGAACTAATCCCCATAGAAACACAAAGAATGCATGGACCAAGAGTTACTTAGAAAGAAAAAATACAATTATAGGGGAAATCCTGCCCACAGGCAATGATTTGTAAGTGTATAGAAGTGACATTGCAAAACACACTATAAAAGTCCAAGTATAATATTTAATAATATCCCAGTTGGGTAATATCAATTGATTTAAATAGTAAAGATGTCTAAATCTAGCATGTTGAATAGATGTTTTTTGAACCCCCTGACAACAGAGTCTGTGTCTTGATGATTTTGGAATCTTTGGGGCTGAGCATAATATCTGGCAGTAAAGATGCTTACTAGATTGTTGGTGAATGATAATGATATGAAAGTGATCAATCCCAGTTAACTCAAATGTATGTATGGTGAGTCTGAGTGGAGAAAGAAGTCCTTAGATTTTCATTTAAAGAGGCTTGAGAGTTTTACACGATTCAGAGAGAAAGTATATTATGAAGCTAAAAGGAGGATGATAGGAAGGGAATGTTTGCGATTGTTATCTCCTACTTGTCAGGTTTACATAGAGAGGCCTATTCACTCACAAGAAGGAAAAGCATAGGAGGAAAAATATCTCTGCTTCAATATGCCTTCTCCATTATGACTTGCCACGGGAGGAAAATAAACGCATCTGGTCAGTGAATATGAGTGAAGAAATGGAACAGGAGTGGATGAGCATACCCTTTTCTTTCTTTCCCAGTGTCTTGAATCTAGGATTCACACTTTCTCCTCCTCCGTCATGTGTAGGTTGTTTGTCCCTGTAAGGAGTCTACAATTGGCCAGTTTGGCATGAATGCACTCAATTTGGTGGAAGTTATCATAATAATAAGCCCAAATGAGTCCACAGCTCCAAGTAACTTTCCAATTCATTTTTATAATGAATAAAGCTAACATTTTTATCTCCATTTGCCTTATTTTACATCTCCTCCTCAGTTGGATCCAAACTCAAATGAGAGAACACAAGTGTGTGATTAATTATCACTCCTAAAACCTTAATCAGAGTTCAAGCCACAGAGTGGAGTGCTTTAATTTCCACCATAAGGGATTTAAGAGACAATAGAAAGTACAAAATGGCATGGACAACATGGCTCTTTAATGTGCTGTGTAAACTGTAATTATACACGAGGGGGGAGAGGAGCTGGTTTGCTTTTTAACATACTAAAAACTAAAATAATATTCAGACTTTCTGGTCAGACTTGTCCTTTCATAAAGAAATGGGCAGGAAGGACAGGGCAAGCAGGGAGACTTAGAGGGCGTGCAGGAAGTTGGTTATGCCCTTGTAATGAGGGCAGGGAAAGGAACCAAGTAATTGTCATATGCCTTTAAGGGGAAAATGAAGTCAACTTATTCTATCAAATATTCAGGTACCACAAAGACAGAGAAAATATTAAAGTTGAGAGAGGACTGATCTATTTTACTTCTGCATAACAGGACATACTTCAGGAGAACAAAAAAGAAGATTCACAAATTAAAATGTATTTAGCCAAGAAACAGATGAGCATGTTGAGCTTGTTGGTGCTGAGCAGAGAAGAAAAGCTGTTTTAGAGAGAATTATGAGTGGAGATAAGCCTGTAAACCTTCTACATAATTATTTTCAATATTAAATATTATTTTTCATCATGACAAGTAATGAAGCAGTAAAATAAGAGCCATTATCAAAAGGTGTATTCTCAAGACCTATTTTAGAGAGACTGCTTTCCTAATATGACTTTTAATGCTCCCAAAATGATGTTTGGCAGCTTCCTTATAGACCCTGATTATCTAGGAGGAAGTTGATTTTTCTAAGTAATAAGTTTTATTCAATTTATATTCTCAGAATTATAACTTTTTAGCCAGGCACAGTAGTTAATGCCTGTAATCCTAGCACTTTGGGAGGCTGAGGAAGGAGAATTACTTGAGACCAGGAGTTGGAGACCAGCCTGAGGAAAACAAGGAGACCTTGTCTTTATGAAAAATAGAAAAAAAATTAGCTGAGCATGGTGGTGCATGCCTGTAGTTCCAGCTACTCAGGAGGCTGAGGAGGGAGAGTCACTTAAGCCCTGGAGTTTGAGGTTGCAGTGAGCTATGATGACATCACTGCACTCTAGCCGGGGCAACAGAGGAAGACACTGTTTCAAAAAAAAAAAAAAATTCAAAAAAAATAGAAATTAAAACTTCTTTAGTTTGCAACCTAACCTAACAAGTCTACAACTTAAGCAATTTAAAATAGAAAGAACATATTAAAATGGTTTCCATATACAAGCATTTCTTTACCTGCCTTTACACTTACTATAACATGCAATCTACCTTCTTAAAATTTTTTATTTCGGTAGATTTAGGGGGTACAAGTGCTTTGTATTACATGGATGAATTGTATTATATAATCAAGGCTTTTGGTGTACAGCCTCTATGGAAAACAATATAGAGAGTCCTCAAAGAACTAAAAGTAGACCTACCATTCAATCGAGCAATCACCCTACTAGGTATCTACCCAAATGAAAAGAAGTCATTATATTAACAAATTTGTTAATTGCACAATGTAATATTGTTAACTATAGGCACTATGGTGTACAAAAGATCTCTAGAATTTATTCATCTTGCATAACCAAAACTTTACACTCATAGAACAACAACTCCCCATTTCTTCTTCCCTCTAGACCCTGGCAAACACTTTTCCACTCTCTGCTTCTATGTGTTTGACTATTTTAAATTTGTAAGTGGTATCATATAGTATTTGTCTTTCTGTGACTGGCTTATTTCCCTAGCATAATATCCTCCAGGTTTATTCATGTTGTCACATTATAAAATTTCCTTCTTTTTAAAGGCTGAATAGTATTAAATTCTATGTATATACCACATTTTCTTTGTCCACTCATCTGTGGACAGACATTTATATTGTTTCCACAGCTTGGTTATCGTGAATTATGTTACAATGAACATGGAAATACAGTCATCTCTTCGAGATCCTGATTTCAATTATTTTAGGTAAATACCCAGAATGAGATTGCTGGATCATTGGTAGTTCTGTTTTTAACTTTTTGAGGAGCTTCCATATTGTTATATTGTTTTCCATAAGAGCTGCTCCATTTTGCATTCCCATCAACAGTGTATAAGGGTTCAGATTCCCCCACATCCTTGCCAACACTTGGATTTTGTTTGTTTTGTTTCGTTGATAATAACCATGCTGACAGGTGTGAGGTTATATCTCATTGTGGTTTTGATTTGCACTTCCCTGATGATTAGTGACACTGAGCATTTTTTTCATATAGCTATTGATCATTTATATATCTTCTTTGGAGAAATGTCTATTTAAGTCCATAGTCTATTTTTTAATCAGGTTATTAGTTATTTTTAAAATTGCTGAGTTGTAGGAGTTCCTTATATATTTTAGAGATTAACCTCTTATCAGATATATGGTTTATAATTATCTTTTCCCATTCCATAGGTTGCCTTTTCAGCCTGATGATTGTTTCCATTGCTACAAAGAAGCTTTTGAGTTTGATGTAGTTTTGTTTATTTTTGTTTTTGCTGTTTGTGCTTTTAATGTTATAATAATGAAATTGTTGCCAAGACCAATGTCATGAGAAGATAGGGACAGTATCTCTGGCAAGAGAGTGTCCTAAATCTCCCTACAGGCTTTGGTGAATATGGTTTCATATTCTCCCAAAGTGCAAGAGCCTTTCAATTAATTTCTCTTGGCTCAAGAATGGAATTTGTCCACGAATTGTTCCTGAATTGGTGTGTTTGTGGGTGGTTGCTGACATCATTTGGTGCCATATTATTTATTTCAAGTGATATATCATATATTTAGATATATAAATAACATATTTTAAATTATTTTGATTTTTGAAAAATGAGATAGCAAAATTTTCATATAAAAATCTGGAATATATAACATATGCATACAATAAACCTTATTATATAAAACTTATTTGCCTACTATATCTAATTTATGTCACTTTTTGTATTTCTTGAAATAAGAAACATTTTATTCAAGGTTTGTTTCTAAGTTTAAAGCTGAAAGTCATGGCTTTAATCTTATTCCTTAGAGTAAAAGAAGAAATTAAAGTTTAGAGAAAGTGGAAACTACAGTTACTACAGTTTTCTTCTCTTCTCACTGTTGACAGAATCACAATATATGTCTTATAAATCCAGTAATAACCATAACTGTTGGCATTTTTGAGCTACCTACTATGTGAAAACAACAAACATAACAACTGAGTACTCCTTAAGCACCGTTTGAATATTATGTTATAAATGACAAGTAAATGAACATGGATCTTCAAGAAACTAAGTAATCAGCAACCTGTATTTCAAGGAAACTTAGTTTTTATTTATTATCATTTTATATACCCATGACTGTTTTAACTTACCAGAAAAACCATCATAAAAATTATATGAATTTCTTTTTGGAATCACTAAAAATTCTGTCATTTCTGGAGTAGGATGTTTTCCAAAAAAATCACCACACAGTGTGACTTCCACGTTCTCTTCCACCCGCTTCCTGGACTGACATTGTATGACAACTATAGGAGGGAAACATTTCAAGTGAATTTGGCTAGTAGGTTATATGATCATTCTTAAGATAGAAAGTGAACTACATCATAAAAAATATTAAACTTCCTTGGGCCATACTTTGACTTGTCATCATATTTGATCCTATACACACATGCATATACAACACACACACATACACTCATGCAATATCTATGTACATTGACATTTTTGAAACAAATAAAAATATATAATTTCATATTTATATAATTATAAAGAATATATAAAAATAGTATAGCAAAAATATGTCTGTAAGATGTATACTAGATTAGATAAGATTATATTAGAATTTCAAAATTTGATTCAGGAACTGATAAAGTTATATCAATAGCTCAAATAACAATTATAAGCATGTGAATTTCTCCCCTTTTTAAAATCTGTATATTCATTATGGGAATACGAAGCTCTACTTTTATAATAATACTATAGCAAATGCTTTCAAATAATTTTTAAAAATAAGTTTTGTAACACTTATTTTGCACTAACATTTAAAAAATATTTGCTATACTAGATTCATTATGTTTTTACATACATCTTAAAACTGATATTTTAATTATTTAAATAAAATATTTAAATTATTTTTGAATTACTTTTAAATTTATAAAAAAACACCCTTTTAACAGGTAAAAGAATTGTAATGAATTATTTAAAATTAAGGTTAATATGTGATTATATATTAATTTAGTGTGCAGCATTAAACATTTATACATATATTTATATATGCATTAAATGCCAGAATTTTCTTATATCAAGGGCAGGAAAAGTTTTCAGCAATTTTATGAGAAATCAAAATATTGTTTTTATGTACAAGTATTAATTATATAAAGAAAGAGTACTAATGAATTTTTTGGCATTAGTTCTATAATACTATGGGGTCATGTGTAGTTGAGTCCACATAAATAAGAACGTTATTTACCCAAATAAATGTTATACTTTTATCAAGTCAAACACACATTGTATGTAAAGGAAAAGGGGAATCATAAAAAACATTTGAAATGTATTATGCTATGATTTTGTGGGATCAATAATAATATAATCACATAAACCACAAAATTAGATGATGTCCTCAGATGGTGTTTTCATAATATGTATGATATTTATAGTATAAAAATATTATAATGTATTTATTTTTTCATTCTAAAATTTATAAATTTATATTGAACATTCTGGACTTAGAATAAGTATGTGAAATATACAATAAGGGTACAAAGAAAGATATAAAATGGCTAGGAAAAATATATGAGCCTTTCTGGTTATAATTAGTTTTAGTCTTAAAGCATTAAATTAGAAATAAGTGTGTGATGAAAGTTACAATTAGCATCATATCCTTGGTCTTGTCCTATGGGTCCTTAGGAAATTAGTGCCCTGACAATGGAAAGATCACGCAATCACAATGGATTCACATTCTGTTGTCTTTAAATGTGACAGGTACTGGAATCCTTTTCCAGTTATCTGCCCCAATGGACAGCAGTAGATAAGAATTCACAAAGACAAAAGGTAGTTCACAGAACAGCAAAAGTATCCTGGGTTTGGGAATAACCTGAATGATAAATATGTAAGAAAGCAAACAAAATAATAAACTTTGACAGCAATAATACAGTTGAGCAGGGAAAGTAGTAAGTTATATCTGGTGGGTTATTAAAGAATGGAAGATGGACTGTACAGAAAGCAAATGATATGAATTTATAAAATTATATCCACTCACCTTTCAAAGACATTTGCAATTGAAAATAGTTATCAACATAGATTTTAAATTTTGGCAAAATGATTTCAGAATATACAATCTATTTCAGAACACCAATATGACTACTGGGTTGTGCTAATCTGAGGTAAACTCTTTACAGAACTCATATTTAATTTAAAAACCAAGTAATTACTAGGAAAAGTGACTTGAAGGAGAATGCCCTGGAGCACATTTAACTTTCTTGGAAGAAAAATGTACGAGAAGTTTATGTTTTTGTCTTCTCATAGGCTTTGTTTTTGACTGAAAATTTTTTGCTTTAAGACTTTAATCTGCAGAGGCTACAACTTTGTCTGCAGCAGACATGAGCAACACTAGTATTAGAATTCCAACAGAGTAACGTCTAGGCTTTATTACATAACTTTGATCAGATGACTGTGTATTATAAATTTTAAAAAGTTCAGCTCTTTGGAAAGTATACAATCAACTATCTTCTAGAAGGAAGTAAAGGAAACATTTGACGTATTTGTTAAGCATTCTGAAGATAATTTAGTATATTTGAGATATTTATGTATGTGTTGATAATTTTTTAATTCAAGAGTAAAAGTACTTGAAGTAAAAGAAATGACATCTATTGTCAAAGGTACTATTCTATATGTGGATTTTTACTACAGTTAAACTTAAACTGCATAAGGAAATATGTGGTCTTGGCCTTCTTTTTATAATCAGCGTTATTTGGAGAAATGCTTTATTTACAAGCAAAACTTACTAGTTTCTCTTCTTTCTAAGCGTGATGACATATGTCAGTGGACGTCTAACTCCTTTTTACTTACAAAGATTAATATTGGAGGGATAAGGGAAAAGCAAAACTTTAAGACTTAACTCATCTGTGCTACTCAAGAGAGAGATCCATTATAGATAGATAGCCCTTTGTTTTGCAAGGCAATTCAATGCATCTTAGCTACTTAGAACTCCATCTAGAGCCTGGTAAGAGGTTGGAATACTCTATTTTGCTGTATGGTTATCTAAAAGAAATTTTGTTTCTACAGCTGATCCTGGGAAGGAAATGGGAAAATCAAAGAATGTGAAAGAAGTGAGAAGAGTATTGATGAACAAGAATACATAGAAACTTGAGAGAAGCCTGGGGTATGTGGGGAAGGAAAGGGGAGTCATTGAAAAAATAAATATATTTAAGAGCATGGATTTTATATCATGTGTGAGTTGGCAAAGTAAACCTCACTTCAGTACATCCTGACTGATTCTGGAGAACATCATAAAGATTTTGCTTCTGAGACAAGTAAGAAAGAATAAAGGGACCATCATCCCCACAGGATAGTTCTTAGATGAGACTGAGAGTTACACATAAGCTGAAATAGGATGATTGAAAATGACCTGAGAACAAGTGTACCTGGGAATCTTATAGATGTAGTGCACGGCTGTGTGGGATAAAGGGGTCTGAAGTTAATTTCATTTTAACCTTAACTGATAACTGGGTTTCATCAACAGGAAGGCAACAGGAAATGGTTTGGTTTGTGGAAAAGTCAATGGATTCATTGGAAGAGTAGGTTTATGTCCCAGTATTCCCACCCATAGGGCTGCTGATGTCATTACTTACTTTCTATGGATCTTGAACAAAGAAGGAATGGGATTAGAGGATGTCTAAGGTGCCTTAGACTTCTGGTGTTCTCTGACTGTATACCTACCTGGAGAAGATCTAGGAAATGATGCCTGTGGGATCCCAAGAATAGGGTACATCCAGTGTATTGCTTGAATGTCTCCACTGTCTACTCCCATAGTTCTAATTAGAAATTAAAATATTAAGAGTGAACAAAAAAGAGAAATGCTTTCCACATTAGCATAAAATCACTTATTCTTTATTAACCTCATGGAATTTTACTGAAGCTTGTGAATTTAAACTTTGGTAGAGAGAAACTGACAAAATAGAAAACATTTTCTGTAAATGTTGATTTTATAAACATTTCAAAGCCAATCCTGGGACATTATCACAAATAAAACTATAATAAAACCATCATGAGATATATGTTAAAATTGAAGAAATTTTCCCTATTTTAAACATCACTATTAGTATTTACTGATGTGACTCAACTCTGATTAATGAGAGATAATACAGTCCTCACAGATTATATTGTAAATTGGACAGGCAAAGCACAAAACAAAAAATGCATAAAGTACAGGACTTCAGAAAGTGATGAGGAATTTACTTTTAGGTGATACCAGTTAAAAGAAAGAGAGTATGCATCCAAATATTTTCCATCATATACCTTTAGTAAGACAGCAATACTAGAAAAATATTTCTGATCCTTGTTGAAGATGGAATTTTCTTGTTCAAATAAAATGAAAAACAGTACAGGCAGGACCAGTTGTGCATGTGACTTGTGCAATTGCATAACATCCCACACTTACAAGGGCTCCATGCTTGTTTAATGCACTACTGTAACTGACTTGAAATTCTTGATAATTTTGGAACAAGGGCCCCCTCATTCTTATTTTTTACTGGAAATCACAAATTATTAATATGCAGCCAGTCTTGACTGTAAAAGTGGTGAAATGCATGGCAGAATGGATACTAATAGGCCCATAGTAATGAATTTAAAAAACTGTTTGGAAGAAATATACATGTGTAGGACAAAATCAAAATTTCTGTTTAACTAAAATTTCTAGACCATTATTTGATTAAACTATAAAAGCAGAGAAAACATTTCAATTTTGCACCAATATTTGAGTTTGCTTAAATTTAAGCTAAGCAAGAAGGTCACAAGTAAGCTGCATCTGGCAATGACACAGTAGTGTCATAGCAGTACATAGTACATGGTAGTAGTCACAGCAGTGTTTCCTCAGGATTTCACATCTACCTGGCACAGTGTCATCACTTGTTGAATGCCTATATCACAAGTCCTATACTTTGCCTAGCTGTTTTAGGTTGCCCTCTGGATATTGATTATTTATTGTCTTAAAAGTCACTATTTTCCCAGTCAAAAAGGAGTCTGTTTGCATGTCTCTGACTCTGATTCTTTGATAATGATATTTAAGATTAAACTTGTTCATCTTTATGAAATTCAAATAAGCAATTATATATATTACATATCATTATAACAATAAAAATTATATTTTATGAATACATAAAACATATACTTCAAATATATAAATATATTATATATATATTAAATATTTTATTATATGTATTAAATATTTTATATATGTAGTACATATCATATATAATATATATGCCCACATAATAAATATATTTTCCTTTTTTGAACAGACTAATTTTAGCAGTTCAATGAATATAAAATCATAAGCTTTGCATATAAAGGAAACCTATCACATCAGTGCCAGTCAAAATAAAATCTCATTTTCATTCAATGTCTTTATTTAAATGTTACCTTTTCGTGTTTATATCCAATTCATCAAAATTATCAACAGGCCAACTTTTCTTATTTGCTCTCATCATCTGAACGACGACTATTGTTTTGTATAATTTCATACTTGGGGGCACAAATAACACTAAGATCTCTAGATTTCCTTTAGGAGGCAATGCAATTCCTGTAAAACACACAAAAATAATTTTAATATAAAAATATTTACAGAATATTAACAGCAAAAAGTAATCACCTAATTCTCTTACTGATTATCAATTTTTCAAAATTGCTTCTGAACAAAAAATATATTATGCTAAATTATACATGCATATCACTATTTTCCCTCAAATGTCATCAACTCTATTAAAATACATATTTTATCCTGAGGTAAGAAATTTCTTCTGAAGAGACTGGAAGGCCTGAGGGAATGTTGAAAGTGATGGGTGGGGTTTCCAAAAGTGATAAAAGTACCATAAAACCCATGAGTCTTTTCAAGCCTTACTCCATTTTACAGAAGAGAAAGTACAGCAATTTTTAATCCTTTAATTTCTTGTGTATTTTTTTCTAGACCGTAACAGGTCCAGGTCTCTTACAGAAGCCCCAAAATTGCTGCCAGTAAAAACTGTTAATTTATTTACCTGATCTATGAGGAAAGTCAAAGCTTGTTTGTGAAAGAAAGAGGCATTTGCTCCCAGTTGAGAAAACCAGAAGACAGAAAAACTGACAGTATTTTCTTGTGGTCTGATGGATTTGAATTTTTCAACCTTTACTATGCATAAGAACCACTTGAGAAACTTGATAGACATGGAGCTTGCTGAGCCCTATCCCTAGAGATTCTGATTTATTCAGTTGGAGTATGAGCCCTGTAAGCTGCATGCCTAAGTAGCACCTCATGGGATCCAAAAGCAGATGGTCATGAGACCATACTTTGAAAATAACAAAAACAAAATAAAAACTACCTGTTGGACAAGTTTTGAGAGGTTGGAAGAGTGGTGAGTTTCAGGCCACTTGTAACAGGCAGAATTTCCAGGCATTGAGTATTTACCTTTATTTTGAAGAGTAACACTACTTCTTTATAAGAAAATAGAGGATTATTGACCACATCTTATTTTAATTCTTTGTTATGACTGATGATAATCAAAACCATTTTGTCTCAGATGAGAAAACTGTATTAAACTGTTAAGAACAGCAAAAATAGAAGTAAAAAATGATCTTTCTGCAAAACATTCCAACTGAAAATTCTTATAAATGTTCAAAGATCTAATTCTATTCCTTGAATAAATTAAAATATTCTATGGCCTATTACTGTAGTTAATAATAACTAATAATTAATATGATTAAGAGTTAATATTTATTGAGCATTGACTGTATACCAGGCTCTTTGCTAAGTATTTTTTGTACAATATCTTATTTAATTCTCAGAAAACCACTATAAATTAAGTGTCATTATGTTTCTTATTTTAGAAATGGAGAAATTGAGGCATTTGGGTGAAATAATTTGCCAAAAGTCCCATTGAAAGATTATTTTGTTTACTCAGATATCTAAGCAAAGTATATTATCTTCAACTTTGTCTCTATGAGCTCTATATTTTTAACGAATCATTGTAGTGTGAAGTAGAGTTAATTAAAACAAATACACTTCCTATAAAAACAGTCTTGTACATTATGAAGGTCATTATATTTTGCATACACAGAGATCTTTGTAAGAACTTGTAAGATACGTTTGAACTCTAGACTTACTCTTTTCTTTTTATATATATATATTTTATTTGTGGTTTTCAATGATTCTTTGCACAATAAAAGAGGTTTTCTATTGTGACTTCAAATCTATAAACCTTCCTCCAAGGTAATGAAAGAGCAAGCTGGACGAGTGTATATTTCAAAGGTCATAAGTGCAAATCTTAAGCCTATAGCTTATGGGAATTTCACTCTTCCTTTTATAATTATGGTGAAATTACAGATTAATTCATTTTAAAATGTCTTTGGAGAAAAACACCAAAAGCTGAGTCAAATAAATCATGCATACATTCCCAAGCAATCAATTTTAGGAATTATCAGTTGCCCTTACAAAGATTATATTATTACTAAAAATAGATTATATTACAACTAAAAATAAGCCGATAATTTTAGATAGTGTAGATAGTGTAAGGAGTAAAGAGATATAAGAAAGAGTAATTCATTAGTTATACCATGCTATCTTATAATGTTTAAATTGAAAGAATAAAAAGATAATGCCAGGACAAATAAGCTCATGTAATTAAAAATCTAGTAGCCTATTTGTGGTTGTAACTTCTTACCAAGCCTATAAGTAGAATTGTAGTTCACTATTGAATGCATCATAAGTTTCTTTAGCTGCAATTATACACTTGACTGTCAATTTCTAAGAAATCACCGAAATTTAACATTAAAAAGGACTTTGAGATTTATCAAGTTCATTTTTCATCTCACAAATTAATTTTAATTTCTTTGAATTTCCCACTGTCATGTGCAACACTCTACCTATCGTTTATTCTGATACTTACATGCTTTAATTTTTATAGTTAAATATTTGATCCATTTGTAATTTATCCTTATGTTTGGAATAAACATGTATCTAATGTTATTGTTTTTATTTTTTAAATTTTTTCCCTTTTATTAATTTCCATATATTAAATAGGTACAAATGTTTTTGCTCCATGGATACTTTGTATAAAGCTTAAGTCAGGGCTTTAAGTGTGCCCATCACCAGAATAGTGTTCATTGTATCCAATAGGTAAGTTGTTACCCCTCATCCACTCCCATCTTCTCTCTTTTTGGTTTCCAGTGATCTTTTCATCTCTTTGTGCCCATGTATGCCAACTGTTTGGCTCCCAATTGTTAGGGAGCACATGTGGTTTGTTTTTCCATTCCTAAGATACTTCACTTGGGATAATGGCCTCTAGTTCCATCCAAGTTGCTGCAAAAGACATTAATTCATTTCTTTTTATAGCTGAGTAGTACTTCATGGTATATGTATTTTCTTCGTCTACTCATTAATTGATGGGCACTTAGGTTAATTCCACATCTTTGCAATTGTAAATTGTGCTGTAGTAAACTTTTGAGTACAGGTGTCTTTTTGATAAAATGACTTCTTTTCCTTTCGGTAAAGTGGGATTGCTGGATTCAATGGTAAATCTACATTTATTTCTTTAAGGAATCTCCATACTGTTTTCCAAAGAGGTTATACTAATTTGCGGTCCTACCAACAGTGTATGAGAATTCCTTTCTCTCTGTATCCATGCCAGGATCTATTGTTTTTTGACTTTTTAACAATGGCCATTCTGACATTGGTAAGGTGGTACCTCGTTGTGGTTTTAATTTCCATTTCCCTGATGATTAGTGATGTTGAACATTTTTTAAATATATTTGTTGCCCATTTGTCTATCTTCTTTTGAAAAAGTTCTGTTTATGTATTTTCTGTATTTTTAATGGGGTTGTTTTTTCTTGCCGATTTGTTTGAGTTCTTTGTAGATTATGGATATTGGCCCTTTATTGGATGTATCATTTGGGAATATTTTCTCCCAGTCTGTAAGTTGTCTATTAACTCTGTTGATTATTTCCTTTGCTGTGTACAAACCTTTTAATTTAATTAATTCCCATTTATTTATTTTTGTTGTTTTTTGTATATTTGCTTTGGAGTGTCACAGTCATAAATTCTTTGCCTTGGCCAATGTCTAGAAGAGTTTTTTCTACATTTTCTTCTAGAATTTTTATGGTTTCATGCCTTACATTTAAGTCTTTTCTCCATCTTAAATTAATTTTTGTATATTTCGATCTTTTTCTGGATTTCCTAGATGTTTGCTTTGGTCTCTCTTTCTCTTCATGTGTAAGTAACATTTTGTTTCAATTGTAAATGTTTTATTTTCTAGTAGGACTAACTGCCTTGTTTTCCAGCTCATTTTTTAAAGAAATTTTGAAATAAACAGCTCCAGGGAGCAGATTGGGGTATAAGGGCAAATAATACTTTTAATGTGACCACCCTATATTTATACATTAATTTAGGGATATTTGACATTTTTGTACATTTAAGACCTATCAGAAAGGAAGGGTATAACTTTTATCTTATTTTTCTTATTTGAGCACCAACCTCACTATATAAAGTATTTCTAGGTTCTTGGAGTAGAATTTCAGCCAGTCTTAATTTTCAGAATTGCTAGAGGCTAAAGATGTGTTTAGCAGGATGCTGAGAGTAATCATATCAGTTGTTTCTATCTTCTGACTGGGAAGTCTAGCAAGCATGATGATTATTATATTTATTAGATTAAATGATCTAATAAAACACATTCTAAACTCAAAATGTTTGAACTTCTTTCTTTCTGTTTCATCCATTCCCATGCAGTAACTACATAATTAAACTACAGATAGATTTACTTTTTTAAAATATAATCATCATTCTTGAGGTTAAAAACCCTTTTAACCATCTGGGGGAAATATGCATATTTTATTTTACATAATTTATTTTACACATTTACAATTTCATACATTATTTATGAAATTTTAGAAAACCTGATAACACATCATGTTTACAATCTGAGGCATGTTAAAAACAATGACGTTAATTGTTTTATTGTCATTTTATTTTTAAAATTTGCTATAGCACAATTGCATTAGCATTCAAATTTTATTTCAAGTACATTTAAAGCTACTATTGCTCTTTTGATTAAAGGAGTTAGAAATTTTTACCCATTGATCTTCTATTTGAAACACAGAAATTGTATATTATTTTGTTTTTGTTTTTAAAAGATATCTTTTTATGACAATATCCATAACATTGACAGGTACATGTTAAGGCTAGTATCATACTCTTTTTTGAAATTTTTTAACATTTTTTTTAAAGAAAGGTAGTAAAAACCAGATTCTTTTATCCTTTAGGGCTTTTAACCGTACATACAGAAAATCAGAGTGCAGTGAACATAATGTTCAGTCCTACAGTCAGGATGCAGTTGCTCCTTGCCATTCCACAAGATACTGCACCTTTCCGTCCAGTGTCACCCAACAAGCCAAAACTCAGTATTTTTTGCCACATGCTATTCTACCTGCACCACCAAAATAACTGGTAATGGAATTCTTTGGATGATTGAGTTGTAACTCCTGATCTGCTAAGTTATTCAGAATCTCTGTGTTGAGTTCAAGAAATTGATAATCTTCTTTGCTTTCATCATCTTT